ACTCTGTATTTAGGAAAAGGAGAATATGCAAGATGGATACAGTTGGTCAGTGGCTACTTGTGGGAGGTTGCTTTCGTTATTGGGGGTAGTATGTAGTAGTAAACAGAATCAGCTGCTATTTAGCTGCATACTTTACTACAGCATATATTATCTGCATGTAAAGACATAAATACTCCGTTTTGAGTTTGCATCAGAAACAGACTTCATTCCGTATCCATTTTTTTCCTTTTGAACTTTTCAGAAGAATGTGGTAGACTAAACTTTGTAACTGGGGAACAAACAAGTTTTTAGGGTGTGATATTTATAGTGAACAGGCAAAATGAAGACCTGACCATAACTTGCAAAATGTCTAATCCAGTTGAAAGGGTGTGTGTATTCACTTGGTGAATCAAGCTTACACTAGTGTGTCTCCTGGCTTCCAAAGTAATTTCGTCATCTGGTACGTGAGATAAAATACAGATGTTTCACGCTAGAAACACAGAACTTGATCTGTCTCTTTTTCTTTTTTTCTTTCCTTTTTTTTTTTTTTTTTTTTTTTTCCCGTTCTCGACTTGCCCTATCTTTTTAAAAGCCTGGATAACAAACATGGTCAGTTTCATTATTTCAGATCTGGATATGACTTATTAATGATTCCTGATATGAGTTGAACTGTTTGCCCAGCAGAGTATACCCCCAAAGTAAATATCACTTTAGAAAGTTGATTTTGGTTGTTGGAGTGTGTGCTTATAAAAATTCATGATTGGTCTATCATTTATCCTTGCATACAAAATAGAAGTAAAAATGTAAAACTGGGAAAAAGGTGTATTCCACATTCACAAAGGTTTTAATCCTCGCCTAGACAGATTAGTCTGTCAAATTGCAAAGTCAGACTCTATGTTGGTTTCTCCGTGGCAGGCTTTGATGTGCTGCCTTGGAACCAAACAAAACAACAGTCTTTGTTTCCTAAAACTCACTTTGTCCCATATAGTATGTCAATACAGTCACTAAAACCACAGTGGAACCCATTGAATCAATGTGACTGGAAGAGCCAAAGAGAAATGGCTTCATTATTTGTAAATACAGTTCAAGATCTAGTACCTCAACTCTCTGTTAGTAACATTTCTAAAGAAAAAGAATAAATAGAAGACTAACATGGTAAAAGCTGATGTAAACTACTGAATTTGGAAATTTTCACTGTCTTCCTAGTTGCATTGTCTTCCTGCATTGTCTGGAGCAAGGCATGTGCTGAGCATGAGCTTGGTGCAATTTCATTTCATTCCCATGACAGGGACAAGGCTGTTTATGCCATACTTGGCCCCCATGCCCAGCTCAGTCCCCCAAAGTGGGAGTACTAATGATTATCCAGTCTCTGCTCTTTAATTAGGTTCTTCAATTCAGGCCACTGAAGCTCAGAGGCAGCTCTGCCATGGTGCTACACCAGTGTAAATGTATCAAGGACACTGAGCACCCAGTGGAAGAAGTGTATACTGATAAACAGGCAGAGAGGATGAGAGCCAAAAGCTGAATCTCAGCCACAGTCTTGGCCACTTTCGGCTGGTGAACAATCACGCAAGTATTCTAATATCCCTTACAGAATGGACAAGCATCTTGGACTATGTCCATGCTGCATGACAGGCTACCCTTAGAAACTGAGTTTGACAACAGATGAGATTGAAGATCCTTATATTTTGCTAAGAAGACATAACCCTGGAAAAAATCAAAGTAGCTATAAACAAGCTATAGAACAAAAAAAAGTAAACTGGGATAAAATATTTGGAGATCTGTCCAGAGGAAGCAGTTAAAAACTTGGAAAGATGACATGACTTTGCACCCATGTATGAAAGAAAAAGTGTTTTCTCTGTGCCCATAATCTTCTTTAAAATAAATAATTGAAAAGAGGAGGTCCTACAAAATTGCTTAAGAAGATGCGGAGAGGAATCATTATTCTACGCCCAGGGAGTTTTTTGTGTACATATATGCCAGCCAGAATCCGCATTGACAGTAAGGTTTTCATTTTGTCCATGCTTGTACTGCTCCTACAACACTGTTGAATAAAGCAATAAAAGACAGTGGCTGCCTCTGCTAAGTTGTAATGGTTTTCAGAAAGCTTTTGACAATGAAGAAAATAATTGTAACAGATAGTGATATTCTTTCTTTTCTTTTTTTTTTTTTTTTTTTTTTTAACTTATCCACATATTTTGAAACATTGTCAATGTACTACAGTCTCTAATTAGGAACAACCCTATTGGTGTTATATACTGCTAGAGTTAAATGTGGTTAGGTCTTGCCTGAATCCTTTCTTTTTTGTTAAGAATCTTCAGTATGGAACAAGATTTTCAAATATAGATGGCACAGTTAGAAGTCTGAACTCAGCTGAATATCTGCCTCTTGAATATATCGTCACAAGAAATAAGTGAAAGAGTAATAGTCTAGCCAAAAAATCATCCATTTAGATTTTGTTGTTAATCAGCAAATGAAAATGGCTGTTATGAGAACCAGACGATCCTACAGCATCTAGGCAAGAAACCTCATGAACTGTTGATAAATGTAGTTGTTCAGGGTGTAACTTCAGTAAAGACAGTGACAACTTCATGACTTGAAGGTTACTACTATTTGGAAGCCTACCCTGGTGAGAAAAGGCTTAAGGTATCACCAAGTTCGGCATCACTTTCTCAGCAGTTACATGGCATAGCTGCTGCCACACTGTGAAATTCTCAGCAAGTCTATCCAAGAAAAGGTGAAGAGCCACCAGCAAGGTTCCCTGGGCTTCCATCACCAGCTGCAGCAAGAATCCTGTGATTTTGGAGTAGTCATTAGTGTTCAAGCCAGTGCAGCTCGGAGAAAGACATATCTTACAGTTTGAAATGTCCTTAAGTAAGATGTATTTTAGTTACTGGAAGGAAAAAGAAATGGTATGCAAGATAGAGAGAAAGAGGTTTCACAGCACAGCAATGCTGATATATACAGAACTGCGTCAGCTGCCTGCTGAAAGGAAAAAAGCTGACAATGAGTGACCTTATTTGACAGCGTGATAAATAGGTAACCAATAGATAGACCAAACTACAGATGTGCTCTTTTGATGGCACTGATGTAGATAGTCTCAAATTGAAAAAATACGTACTCATATGGAAGAAACCCAAGGAAATGCATGGAGGAGACCAACTTTCTATTAATATTTCTCCATTTTAGGTCTCTCTGATCTTTTTCTGAAGTTAAGAAATGTTATTCCTTTTGATACCCCATGCCTCTGTAGGTAGGCAATTAATAGAAATGGCCAATATTTTTTCTGAAAATATTTCTTAGTATATTTTAATTTCTAATACAAGGTCATATAGACCTAAAGACAGTCATTCTTTGATGTGTTTGAGTCAAATAAAAACATTGGAATCGGAAGAAAAATTTGACTGAAAATAAAGATGGAAGGGAGCTTAAGTAATCTAGTCTTTTGTTCCACTCAGTAAACATCCCTGTCAGATGGTTTTCATGTGTTCTTAAAGACCTGAAATTTTCTAGTGACGGAAATCTTCAAATCTCCTCCAAAATTCTACTGTTTCTCCATTATTCCATCTGAAAGTTCCCCTTTTCCCAATGCTAAATCTAAACTTAATTTTCTGCATTTTAAGTCATGTTTACCACACTTACATGACCTGATCTATTCCATTCTTGTTGATTTTGTTCCTCTTAGCTTTCTCATTTAGTCCCAAGTCCCTCATTTATCTCAGCCTTTCATTGTAAATAATTTTTTCCCTAGATTTCTGGTAAACCTTTCTGTTTCCTCTCTAATTGACCCACTTCTTTCTTTAAACACTGTACCTGGAACGGAACCTGTTATTCCAGCTGATGCTTTACAGCTATAAAGAGAGTAAAAGGATTGTATGACACTGACTTTTCTCTTTATTTACAGTGATCAGCAAAGCAGCTAGTGCAACTCTAGAGGAAATTTTACCCTTTGCTGGAGGGTATGACATAGATATAATTAAAAAGTGCCACTTACAATCCTAACTATTGAGATTCCATGTGCTGCACAGGTTTTACTTAAAAAGAAAGAATATTCATAGCAAATGAGTTTTAATTTGCATGCTGGGTAGTAAATTCACCATTAGCACTGCCTCATTTGGTAACATAACCTATTCAGTTGTACTTTATCTACCTGACATAATGGGAACGGCAAATTTTCTACTGCATACTTTTCATTTAACACTTTATTAACAAGAAATTTGTGAAAGTACTGGGATGCATTTGAAGATGCTTATGAAGGAAAATAATTAAAAAAATTAATACAAATCATTCCCTTCAACCTCTTTAAAATTTAAAAGCATTTTCCTTCCAAATAATTTATTTGTTTTTGGAACAGAGAATTGTTTTTCCCATGCTATAAATGGCGTCACCAAGAAAGAACTGATTGTTTTGTGAAGGTTGTGGAAATGGCCAAGGTAGGACAAGAACTCCAGAATGTAGTTCTACATCCTGTGTTTGGTCTCTTAGGCAGCAGTGCATGCCTACGTTGGGGGGAGAAGGGATAAGAAGAGAGATTGGTTTTAAACACACACCACAGACAGAGAGAGACACATACTTGATTATTTTCCATTTCCTCCAACTTACATTCACTTCTGTGAAGGGAATCAATAGCCACAAAACTGGACTAAAACATAGCCTATAAGGCTCCCAGTACTTCAGATAAGGAACTCACAGTACCTTAATCTGTTATCTGTCTTTCAATTTTTTCATCTTTTTTGTCTTTTTATCTTTTATTTTTTAATCTTTTATCTATCCAGATAAGATAACTCCCAGATAAAGAACGCTTAAGTTGTATTAAAATGCTATGCTATTCACAGGAAGATGAATTTCACCCTATGAGACCAGTGGTTTTGGTCAGTATATTTTTAAGATGACAATGACTTTAACAATTTTCACTGTGAAACAACAGTTTCACTCAAATTGCAAGATCTTGATATCCTTTTCCTAAAACTTTAGCTGTCTTCAGAGGAACAGAAAAGATTAAGGGATCTGTTGCGACTTACCACTCCAGAACTTCCCATTGGGTGGAGAATTTCTTGGATTCAGACACTGCCCATGAGATAGCTGGAAACTGGTTTTGCACCCAGTACAGTTGTCATAGCTGTACCCAACACAGGTTGCACAGCTCCTGTGGCAAGGTTCGCATTCTCTAGAGATGTCATCAGTGAAAAAGCCATCTCCACACTCACTCACACATGTGCCATCTGCAACAGAAACAGAGCCCGGTGTTATGGTGTATACTGACTCCTGTCAATCCTGACAAGGAGGTACCTCACCTATAGCATCTCTCTATTTCCAGCAAGAAACAGTTTAAGAAAAACCAGTATATTAGAACCCATGAAACTTTTTGTAGCTATATAAACCCTAATTTTTTAGCATGAAACCTGAATTCAGCTCAGTTGCTTATGCAGACTTCACAAACTTCAAACCAATTTGGACTTAAATTTGTAACTGGATGGGTTTTCATCCATATCCTAAATCCTGGCACCTACAAATCTTACAAAAGTCCAAATCTAGATAAACATTTTATGGTTGACTCCCAATTATTATACTGGCCCAATGTAAAATCTAAGTCCAGATTTCCCTAAGATTGTTAGATATATGCAAATTTTGAGGATTGGATGAATCTCTGGTTTCCCATGCATACGAAGCTGAACTCAGGTGAATCTGACTCAATTTAAGGGCTGGCATACTGTAGCAAAGCCTCTAGAAGTTGTTACAATAGTAGCTTTTTAAGCTTCCTCCAATTTCAATTAAAAAAACCGTAGACCATCAGATCAGCTCTGGTTGTGACCACAGAGTTTTCCATGAGTGTGATGCTTTTGTCCTCTGCTACTGGGCACCTTCAGCAGGCAATGTACAAGAATACCATAACCTCAGGATTTCCTGTGATTCGTTTTCGTCACCATGTCTCAACAAGACCTGCCTGATTTACAGTTTCATAATAAAGCTAAGAGATTCTAGTCTTGTGTGAAAATGATCTGGAATTTAGTGATTTTAACTGAGTTAATTTCAAAGTGTTTAAGGCTCTTTACTTTAAGTGGATCTGAAAGTCAAAGTAAAACTAGACTTGCAAATAGTAAGGAAACATTTCCATGTCTTTCTGTGAATTAAAACCCCTTTCTTTCACAAAATCTGAATGAAATACAGTATTCTTTGTATGGAAATGCGTTAAAAACAAAATAGGGGGAAAAAAAAAAAGTGGGAATATGTAGTTAAATATGTGGAGCTTTTGAACCAAACAGCACCATTTGCTAAAATAACCACTCACCTTAATGCAAAGAACCTGATTCTGCAAAGGGCTAACTTCCCTCAGCCCCCACTGTCTGCCATAGAAGCAATTTATGAATTTGAGAAGTTGGGTCCAGACTCTTTCTCTGAAGAAAAAGTCTGAAATAGTTTTGTATATGTGCCATACTTGGTACTTTGCTTACCTGACAGATAAAAGCCTTCCTTACATGAGTCACACTTGTCCTTGTCACAGCTGTCACAGTTGCTAGGACACTCTCTGCACTGCAGAGAACTTTCATCTCTGTAGGTATTTTCTGGGCAGTATTTATAGCAACGTTGCTCATACCTGTAAGATAAAGTAGAACATCATTAGTAAGTTTCTTTTGAGGTCATTGAGTTTGTTTTCTGTATGTTTCTAGGTACGGCAATGGTAAAGCTCTATTCTCATCCTAATGAACAATAATTATTCCTCTAAGGAAGGATTCAGAGTATATTTGTGGTTATGTTACTTATTCAACTGGCAAATATTAACAAGTCATGTTTTCTAATCTCAGGGTTCTTAAGTGTAACTAATTTCATTTTCTTTTTTAATTATAGGCACAAAAATTAATTCATGCTTAATTAGAAATTACTATGTTGTGGTTGTAATGACCTGATTGCTTGTAAAAATATATGATCCAATGCCATTGTTTATAGCTAGATTCAATAGCCTTTTTATCAACATTTTCTTTTGTCATGGTAATTTTACAGAGATGTCTTAACTGACTCTTTGAAAAGCTGCAGAGTTCTTTCCCCTCTGTTTAAGTTAAACTTTCAATTAATCTATGTATTCTTTTCTTTGCTTAACCTCCTTACATTTTTAAGCATGGCTGCTGAACTGAAAATAACAGAACTGGACACAATATACTAAGAGCATACTAGTTCCAAATCCAGAGGCACTGTTTAACTTTTAGACCATTTCTGTTTTCTCATCATACATGCAAAGTCCACATCAGTCCATAAGTTTTAAAAGGCCTTGATAGTGAGTGATTGGCTAGTTTTTCAGCATTTCCCAAGCCTTTTTCCAAAATTAGTGTTCTCAGATAGGCAATACTTAAACACAATGGGATAACATACACAGCACAGATCTATGTAGTGAAGCACAGATTTTTGCTTTAGAAAAATGTACAGACATGAAGAGCTATACGGCTGTACTTACATATAATAGTTCTGAATGCATGTTATACAGATTCTTGGGTCATCTGAAATTAAAAATGTGGAATTGCGTAAATAATATTCAGAGCTAAAACCAGAATGCTAAAAAGAGTTGTTGCTACACTATCTTTACGTTAATGTTTCTTACATTAAAATCACTACAGCCATAACTAGAACACTATTACCTCTGAATCTCTGTTTACGTTTCTTGGAGATAAACTCTTCCACCGTCAGGTTCTGGCCTGTACTTTTGCAGTGACTTGTGACTTTTAAGTCCTCAGCATAAGGTACCTAGAAGGTGCTGAGTGCTTAGGAAATACTGTTTTGAAAAGCAGAACTTTCCCAGGAGCTCAGGTTGGGCAAAATGAACTCTTAGAAGGAGACACTAAGTTATCTGAATCTGCAGTTTCATCCTATTTCTTTATTTGTTCCAGAGATAAGCTAAAAGCATTTGGCACCTCTAAAAACAAACTTTTCAAAACCATGTAAGTAATCAATTTAATCTTAAAAATCCTGAGCTAGACAAACACCTTTCTACATTGGG